GGTAGTTGCCATAAAGCTGGAGCAAAAGACTGTGAGGATAGAAATTCTTAAAAGTGCCCTACTCTTTGCTTGTAGAACTGAGCAGAAGAGAAAGCCATTTGACAAGCCTGTGCTAGCTTCAAAAGAGCATAGAAGGATTACGGACACAAGCTGTGACAGTAAGTTAGCTATGGACACAGCTGTAGCCGTAGAACTGTTTCTAGACAAATTATTTGCCAAGTGCTTGGTACATCAACAACACAGCAAGGGGGATTTGTGGCACAAAAAAGCAGAACATGCAAAGCTACAGGAAGGGATCTTTAATTTACAGCATGAGCAGTCCTGTGGCTAATGTAAGTAGCACAATTCATTCCAGGGTGATCTAGCATTAGAGGAAAAAATAATGCTGCAGAGGGCAGGCAGCCCTGAGTTTTGGCAGCAGCAAGTGCTAGAGAATTCATTAGCCTCTGAGTTATAGCTGGATTTGGGTTTGCAAGTTTTCTTGGACTAGACAGGAGCTAACAGATGCTTGGCTCAAAGGAGCTGTCAAGTGTGCTAGCCCTGGGAGGGAGAAGTCACTGGAAGCTGGGATGCTATTTTGTCAAACTGTCTTCATTCTTATGATCTCTGCCTCTGATGATTCTCCCACACCCTCCCTCCTGTGCCAGCAGGGATGTTCTGTGGAGGTGGGCTGTACTGGGAGCCAGGATGACCCCACTGCAGGCTGTGCTCTTGTTGATGGGGTGCCATCCCTTGGGATCTGAACCAGGCAGGCAGAGCTAGGTGTGGGTGACAGGTTCCAATGACAACTCTGACAGGCAGAGCTGATCCAGGGTCCAGATGGGAGCAGCAGGAGATGGGGCTGAAAGCAGGGCTGGAGTCGGACCCTTCTGCACTGTGTGCTCAAGGACTGTTGAAGAGAAAGAACCCAAGGCTAGCCTGGATACAAGCTGCCCACAGTGAGGGCCTGAAATAGAGCAGGGCTGGGTGGTGTGCCCTGATCTGAACTGAACTGGAGCCCTTGGCAAGGGGCAGGGGGGAGTTACCAACCAAGTTGCCCAGGGCCATCAAGTCCTTGTGGACCCTGACTAGAGAGTGGAGTTTGGGGCACATTCTAGCAGGGCAGTCATACAACCACTGGTCCTCCTGCACTGCAGCTACACAGCCTGTGAAGAGGTGAGGTATTGGTTCAAAGCTTTCCTGTGCTAAGGGAGAGTGGAACTAATGTCTCCTGCTAACAGAGATGAGGAGAAGGAGGCAGTAGCAAGACCCAGTTCCCAAGTCCCTAATCTTCATTGGTACTTGATTCTGGTACTGTACTGCTGTGGAAGCACTACTGGGCTATTAACTTGTTGGTAGGCATTGCAGTTACTTCTGTGTGTCCAGATGCAGTTCTGCGGGGGGCAGTGGAAAGGGGAGCACAGAAGGAGAGGTCTTTGGAGCACTGAGCACGTTTTGCATTTGTTCATAAGTGTTTTGGTTGTGTTATGTGGCAAAACGAGTTTGTAGACATTTCTTGCAGATGTAACTATCTGGAATGTGCTTTTTATTGTTATAGTCTTGTACATCTAACCCAGGTTGTGTTGCATTATAGAGGTGCTCAGAGAGCAGCAGGAGGCAAAATATTTTGACAGAGTAGTTGGTTCACTTATACAACTGAAGGACTAGAAACTGTGCATGGAAAGAAAATGTCAAAAAATCCCCATTTCTGAGACAAAGTAGCAGCTGGGTTATGTGATTCTGTGAACAAAAATGGAAGCTTTTACAGATGAAGAAGGAGATGTGCTGTAAAAACAAAATGGGTCATCAGTATGAGCCAGAGTGGCATATGCAGTGCTCTCATATGCTCAGGGTTCCTATCAGAGATGTAGGCAAAAAGTCATGATAAATACTGCACTCTGATTGTTGAGTAGCAATGAAAAAATGCCACTGAGAAAGAAGTGGGTAAGTTTTCAAGAGCTGAAATAGTCACCATAGTGGAAAAATAATGAATATGGTTGGGATGGGAGAGGTATTGCTAATGCATCTACCAGAAGAGTGACGTCCACAGCTGCAGTGTGAAGCTGTTAAATGTGTCTAGTATATCAGAAGAAACTCAATATCCTGACTTTGTTATCTAATGGTCCAAATGTATTTGGTAGAGTTTAGGATTCCATTTTGCACAAGGATTTAGGGCTGATAACTCATTTGAGTAAGGTTACATTAATCAATGACTTTTTCTTTTTCTGCCTCCATTGGGGAGATACCTTTTAGAGATCTTGGATTCTTATTTCTGGGTTCATTCTTTGCTGCATGCTAGTGACCTTGTGGAGGTTACTTAACCTTTCCTCTCCTGGTTTCCTTCTGTGGAAACTCTGACAGTACCAAGGTTATATTGATGATTCAGAATCTGACAATGTAGATCCTTATTCTCTGTTTACTTGTAAAGAAAGTAGGATTGTAATGGGCGATATGAAGTGTGAGCTACATTGATGATATGCTGCTGCAGTATAATTTCTTTCTGTTGCATAAAGATCAAACAGAACTCTTTTCTGTTGCTGTAGCTAACAAGATAGTTGCTAACAAGATAGCTGTAACTGATCATTTTACAGTAGCTTTTCAAGAGCCTTAATGTAGCCAGCTGTTACTTGGCTAACAGTGTTGAGGGGCTGATGTTTCCTTGGCTGGATTAAAGATCCAGCAGTAGCTGGCCCTAAAGAACTGATGTGGCTTTGTAGGAAGAGGTTTTAATGCAACTGGGACATCTTTCTGATAGAAGGGGGAGCAGCGTGTAGCTGAACGACATAGTTTTAATAGAAGTGTAGCTGCACTGAGGGATGGGGTTTAGCTATCAGATTGCAAGTGTAGAGCACATACTCAATAAAAAACTGCAGAAAGTGAGAGGGGGAAGGGAAGAGGTGAGTGGGATATTGAATATTTCCCAAGATAAGCATGGAAAACCAAAGCTAAAATGGAACAGAGGGTCTGCTCTCAGCTGCTGATCCATTACAGTGTTGGCAGTTATATTTTTATGGGACAACCATTGTCTCATCACAAGATGAAAATTGCACAGCCCTCATCTTTTCAGCACTGATAGAGTTATGACTCTGCCAGTCATATGGTCTAAAAAAAAAATAAATATCACAGCTTTAGTCAGACTAAGGGAGTATTTGATACTGTACAATGTAGAACTCTGTATCACTGACATTTTCTTTAAGCTTAGATCTGGGAGACTAGCAGATTCTGCAGAGGTGCTCATTTATTTGTTTACCAAGATTTTTTTTTGTCTGAAAAGGAGAAGACGAAGGAAGGTACTGAGGGATACTGACATCCTAATAGAAAAACAAGGTGTGTGATTGAGGAACCTTTTTCTTTTTAGGACATGCTAGGCATGCCTTGCATGCAAGGCAAAGTTCTGGGTCTCTTGACCTACTTCAGGTCTGTTAGAAATCCACTGTGCAAAGGAGGATTTCCCGCAAGCAGTTATTTCTTTAACATTCTTCCTTTAAGCACTCAGAGAGAAAGAAAGAAAACTTCTTTCCTAATTCCTATTTTTATTTTTTTTTTATTTTACTTTCCTATTTTACTGAGGGCTACACGTGGCTGTCAGTATGTGTATCAGTCAATGTATATCACTAAATCCAGAATGCTGTATGTGGGAGGTCAGCCCTGTAAGGGGAGCAGCAGCAGTGCCAGTCTGATGTTTTCTATTGTACATGTTGAAATGGTGTAATGCTGAAAGAAATATACCTGGAACTCCCCTCTCTCTGGGGATCTAATCCTTCTGAGTACATGAACTGCGTGAGAATGAGCAGGGGAAGGCACAACAGGTCACACACAGAGGGAGAAGAAATAGAAGTGAAACAGAAAGTCTCAATGTTATTGTCTTTTTCAGTGCAGCTTTTAAGTTGTGTGTATTTTAGATAACAATAGGTCAGCATGCTATTCAAATTTCAGTCTAAACTGTGAATTGTAGAGTATTTGAGCGTAAAGTCCGTAGGTGTAGAAATAAAGCCAGGGGAGAGGAGAATATATGAATTACTTTAATGTTATCATGCTACTTAAATGAGAGTCATCATACATGTAGAACTATTTAAAGGAAATACAGCTAACAATCATATTGCATTGTAAGGTAACAATGCAGCATATGCTGATATGGTTGCAAAGCAGATAAAGGTAGAAGCGATTAGTTCTACCTTCTGAAAAGTTACATAAAAATGAGAACAGAATGTCTTTGCTTGCTCAGTAGGAACACAATGGGACACACACTGACTTGTCAAACACAGAGAAGCAGAGTAAGCATGCTAAGGCGAAGCAAAATGTGTTTGCAGGTCTGCTATTTTATTACACTATCATCTTTCTGGACTTGGCAGGATTCAGTGAATGACAGGAATAGGTGATCATGGGTTGGGGAATTGGAATAGAAAGGAGAAGGGGAAAATGACAAAAAGTTATACCTCTGCCTTGGTTTTGGGTTTTTTTTTTTTTTTAAACTTCCTAAATAATTTAATTTATACATAGACCTTAAAAATTGCCTGTTCATTTATTTCCATGGCATATGTGGGTACCTTATTCTATTTACAAGTTTCCTTACATTAGTGCAGGCCTGGTACTGTTACCTGGGCTGTCATATGATGCTTGTAAAGTAAATGATGTTATTTGATCAAGCTGCTTGATGCCAAGCAGTGCACACTCTGATCTGTCAGCTTAGTTCTTTGTGTGTCTTTATTGCCCAACAGAAACAAAACAAGTACCACTTTCTGTGCTAAACGGAGAGTATTGAATGTATTAACTGGCCTACAACTCATTTCATTTTGTTCACCTAGCCAATTACTTAAATTATTAGTTACTGCAAGGATTAAATCTTTTAATTCACTCAAAACCTCAATATTGCCAACAGTGTATTGAAAAACATCCACTTAAGAGCCCTTGCAATGCTATGCAGAAGATCTTGGTCAGTAAATACCAGCAGCACCTGGCTTTTTGGTAGTTAATGCCACTGATTACATTAAAGACATCAGCCTTCAGTGAATGTGCTGGAATAGTTCAGCTTTTCAGGGTCCACACTTTTCTGAAAACAGTGTGTGCATATTCTCTATAGAAAGCAAGTGAAATAGATGATCTCCCATGTGCATTCCAGGCTCATTTTGGCATTATCTCAGCTGATTCCAGGTAGCTAAGACAGGTGTCCAAAAGGAGAGGAATGAAGGAACTAAAGAAAAGAGAGATTAAGCTTCTCACTCTCCTAACTGGGGCCTGAGGAAGGTTCAGCTCTTCATCTCTTGCAGCTTTTGTTCTAGTTTTGTCTGGCAATAATGCTTGCCAAGCTTATGAATATTTTCCAAACTGAAATTTCCCACTGTATGCAGTGCCCTGAAGATGGTGCTTCTGTTACAGGGATATCTTTAATCAAGGATGGATGTGGGTGTTGCTAGAATTGCAGTATGCTTCTCCCACATCCATTGCAGAAAACAGCTTTCTAACCTGGATTGCTTGTGTGACTAAGGTAAGCTCTCCAAATGTTTAGAGCTAGCAGCCTAGAACCATGCCTGAAAACTGCTCATCCCACCAATCTCTCCTAGGCTTGTGAAACTTGGCTTTTCCCTTACAATATTCTACAGTTCTACAGTACTCTGCAGTCTTAGCTATACGCAGTCATTGGTTTGACAATGTCAGCTACTCCTGTGTGAATTAGGACACTGCTTAAACAGTTTAGGTAGCCTGGTCTAGCCCACAAAGAATTATAAAACAATTAAGTACAGGCTGAATTAGAAGGCTTTTAATAATTCCTTGCCATATTACCTGCACCTGCAAAACCACTAAACCTTCAGCCAGCCCCACAGGACCATCAGCTTGACTCATATGGAGCTTTTTAGTTTTATTTTCTGCCCCTTGGATTTGATCTGGTCTCTCAATCTGCCTCAAACTGCCCAGATAATGTCAGCTAAACCAGGGAGCAGTTTTCTTGCCTAGTGACGTTTGACGTGGGTCTCCTGTGGTCGAGTTTAGACCTAAGCTTTTCCCATACTGTATTCTCTCAAAAACAACAGAGAGATTACAGGAACCCTTCTTTTTCTCATGTCGTATTATGACAGGTGCAAGGACTATGGAGAGACGCTTGTGTGGATATGTGGGTGTGAGGAAGAAAGGGAATGGGAGAGAAATTATTTTTCCTCCAATTTTCTATGTGGATTTCAAAGCAACAAGGGTATATTGGTGTAGCTAGCAAAAGTTCTTGAAGATTGTGTCTGGATATGAAGAAAGGAGGAGATGGGGTTTTTCTCTGTCACTTTTCTCTGAAGTCACCTATGGTTTTGGTTGCAAAAAGGACAGGTGTGTAAGTACTAAAACACATAACTGTTGTGCATAATCTGGAGGGAAATGGAGTGGGAAAGAAGATAGAACTGCCTTTTCTATTTGTGTGGTGGCCAAGATGACTACTGCTTACCCTCTGTAGTGCTGGAGATTGGAAGAAATAATGTCATGTCATGTCATGCATGTCATGTCATGGATTGACTTTGCGAACGAAGATTTGGGAAGGGCTTTATCCACGCTTACTACAAGCGCGCTGATGACTAAGAAGGCCGATGTGGGATAGGCAAATCTGGCTACACAAAGCACAGCAGAAGGTCTCCTTGGGTGGTACAGGTGGGGCGCGATTCTTTCTGCGTTGGAAGAAAAAATACTCTGCTTCTATATAGCAATGGTGCATATGTCAATCACTTTAGACTTTTTTACATAATGGTAGGAATTGCTGATCTAGGTCAATATGGTTGAGTTTGTCGCTTACTGACATTGTAACTATGAAATCCTGTTTTCAACCCAATCCCACTTCTGTCTTCAATATGGGCTGTTCACAGCTGTTGGGCAGGTGGCACTCTTGTGCTGAAACATCAGATCAGAGATTTCTTCCCGGTTTCTTCTGCATTTGTCACTTGAGGGAACTCCTAGTCCAGGATTGCTGAACAGCATGGATTGGAAAACAGATCTGGGTTTCCCAGATCAGCTGCTCAGCAATGTAAGGGAAGTTGAGAGATCTCATGAGTAGGAAAAGATAGGAAGCTAGCCAAAGACAGCACTATTAACTCTTCCTGGACACTGACTCCTGATCTGTGATCCACCATGTATTTTACAAAAGATAGTGATAAGTAGCTGATGTACTGTTATTACTGTACATGGAAAGATGAATTAGCTGCAGTTTCTAACTGGCTTGAGAAAGAAACAAATAAGCAGCCAAAAGGAGTACCAGAAATTTTGGAGTTTTTCCATTGGACACACTGAAATATGTGTATATGAACACTTTAAATGAGAAGTGGGTTTTGGGATCCCAGCAGCTTTTGACTAAAACAGTTTCTTTGACAGTTTCAGTGCTGCTCTTCTCTAGAATTCAGGGGTAACAGGAGTGGCACAGCTTTGATGGCAGCAATGAGACTAGGAATTGTCCTGAGCTCAAACAGATGCTGGTATCTGGATTAGCAAAATCAGTTTTCTTTGGGGTAGGGGGGGAACCACCACCCTCTGTATCTACAAAATGAAATTTCTATCCTGGTGATTTTTCATACAATTGTTTCAGGTTTTGAGGATTTTTGTATTTGTCTCTTGACATTCTTGGTGACAGTTTGATTTGTATTTTAATCCGAAACAACTGCAGAATGGACATTTGGTTTATGGAGTGAGGTTTGCTTTTACTGAGGGAATAAAGTGACCATGCTTGTTTCTGTGAGTAGTGAAGTGCAAATAATTATGCTCTGGAGAGGCCTTATAAACACATTTCAGGAACAGTAGCTGTATCTGAAGACTCCTTTGTTGGAACACAAGTGGAGGGAGCACTGTATTTACAAACACTTTTAGTTGTTGTGTAATGAGAAGTGTCTTTACTTGATAAATACTCAAGTGAGAATACATGCAGCTGGTACTGTTTGGTTTAATTCCCAGCCTTCTCTGCCTTGTGCTATTGCAGTGGCCAGAGAATTGAGTATAAGCCTGATGTTTCAGCATAATTTTTAGGAAGCTAAAATGTATCGTCTAGTGTAAGGTAGCAGAAGAAATATTACGAGATAGTTTTAAGAAAAAGAGCTGTATGAGTGGCAGCTTAACAAATGTGAATAATAAGACAGCACGTGCAGTTTAGCTTTAACTTTGCTAGTAGGAAATGGGATCACTGGAAAATGCTGGAGATAAGAAGGTAAAGAAATAAAAAATGAGGAAAAACTCTCCTTGGACAGAAGTCAGGGATTGGGTCACAAACCAGCTAATAAATATATTTGTTAACAGGTAGAAGAACAAAAGTCAATTTATTTACTGATAACATTCTTAACTAACACAGTTACCCTGTGTGGACTGAGATAACTTTGTATTAGTGATAACAACTGAGAGAAAAAGATCCTGTTCCTTTGGTAGTTGGAAAAGACTTTTAAGATCATCAAGTCCAACTTTTTAGCCTAACATGGCCAAGTGTACCACTAAATCATGTCCCTCAGCACCACATCTACATGCCTTTTCAACACCTCCAGGGATGGTGACTCAGCCACTGCCCTGTGCAGCCTGTTCCAGTGCTTTACAGCCCTTTTGGTGAAGAAATTTTTCCTAATATCCTAAAACCTTATCCAATTTTAAACTAAAATGTTAACAGTTTAAAACTGAAGAACCTGGATCCTGAATTTAGGAAGACTTCTTTTCCATTAGCTACCTGATAGTATTCTTCAAATAAGCATTTTTATTTAAAATAGAAATCTATTTTCTTCAATGCTTTTTCCTCCTCAATTTAAAATCACTTTTTTTTTTTGCTTTCATTTTCCCTGTAATACATTAATCTCTTGTATCCTGGTTTTTATTATTATTATTATTGTTTTCTATATCATATATTATATGATAAAACCTTAATTAACATTCTCTTTCATCTATAGTAAGAACCTTGTTTCTCTGAGGCTGATTCCATGAATGACCTATTCATGTCCTTATTCATGTCGGGAGGGGAAAAAAGGATCTGTAATTGACACTGCAACTGATTTGTGCTTTTCAGCTCAGGATAATTGAACAGAACTTGCCCTTTTCTTGGTAAATTTTTACTCGTCTTGTGACAATGCATATCTTTGCAGATAAGGTTGCTGTCATTACAGTTTGTAGTGGGGCTAGGAAGAGAAGTGTGTGCTCTTATCATGCAGTAGGGTCATGGTGAGGATACATTCTTGCCATCTGGTTTTAATTTTCTGTCCTAGTAAAGTATCAGAAATTTGATGATAAGGCACAGTTCGTTATGCAAGTGACCCCAACACTATATTCTGTAGAGTGAATGATGTTACCAGCAAGAGTTACTTAACAGGATGTGTGTGTATTTCAGACCACACTTTGTTGAGCTCCTTTGTTATATACCCATAAAAGAGGTGAAGGGATCTGTGTCTGCATGGCTTCCACTTCCCTGGTTAGGAAAGTGGAAGTAGCTCTAAGCTAACCAGGTAGGGCCAGCTGGCTACCCACACTGGTGAGCCTTGGCATAGAGATGAATCTTCCACCCAGGCAAGCTGTGTAATTCCACCAGCAGATCCCTCTGTGTGACTGCAGCTTTCTGCTGTTGCACCTGCCTTTTGTACAGCCTTTTATTTCTAACTCCTTAGGCAGCAAGTGCTGCACTCCTGTGGGAAAGTGTTGTGTCCTTTATTCACAGTAAGGCACTCCGTGCAGGTTACTGCACTGCAAAAAAGCCCGTGTGCTGTATTACCCTCCCTTTTCCCCACTGTTTCAGATACTCCCTGACACACTGCTGACCCACCACTCCAGTGGGCAGCTCTGTATGTCTGTACATTTCCCTTGCCCCAACACCCACCACTATCTCACCCTCAAGATTGCATTTTTCTGTGCCTCTGTGGCAAGATGGGTGCCCTTCCTTGTGTGCCTTGTGGTTATCTGGTGTGCACCCAGGTGGTGCTTTGGTCATCACAGAGTGATCCCTAAGTACACATCATCCCCTCGTAATACCATGATTCCTCTTGAAGAAAAAGTGAGCAGGAGAGGACGCACAGCATACACTGCCGCTATCCTTAGGGGCAGATTGGCAAAGCAGGCCTGCAAGGTACATCCCAAAGCTTAACTGCCTTCAGGATGGACATATTCCTCTGGGTATGCCCTTTTGTGCACTGTGAGAGTATGTAGTCTGCTAGCTGGTGTCCCCGCGACCTGTATGGGAGGGATGTTGCAGGACATACTGAGGAGCGCAATATACAAGAAGATAGTTTGGATTTGGACGGACTTACTGAGAGGTTGCAGATCTATGTTCCTGTTCTCTGCTGCTCCTATTTTCAAGTGACTCTTCAAGCCTGGTGCTGAATACACAGTTTCAGATCTCTCACTGTGCTGTCTCCAACTGGAGCAACTGAGTCACTAGATGTTCCTCCTCCTTATTACCCAGTGCAGACATACCTGAGTGAGCTCAGTATGAAGCTATTGTGAATCCATCACAGCCTGTTAACTCTCTGCCCCTGTCATGGAAGATGCTGTACTTTATCTCACTAGAGCTGGTTCCAAGTGTAGTGCAGGAATGCTCATGTGGGTGCTGAATTTGGCAGCCAGCCACCTCTCAGACCAAGGCTGGCTTGCAATAGAGTCCTGGTTCATTGAACAGCAAACATCAGAGAGCTGGTCTGAGTGTCACCACATCAGTTTCTCTGTCATGCTGGCCAGTGGTGTTGGTGACAATATCGGAAAGATCTCTCTCTAGCTTGCTGCAATGCGATTAGTGCTGCTGCATTTCTAATCAAATTCAAAGGTTTCTGTGCTCACATGTTTTAGTTTTCTGACTAATTTTCCTTCCTGTTTTTAGGGCCCTGACATAAAAGATCTCCTGCTACATTACAGTTCATGGGAGCTGTCATTCAAAGGCCTGTCATGTCTCAGAAAGAGAAATTTGTCTGTCCAAATAAAATCAGTGTTGACCTTTGGGGTTACTAAGCACTGCCTTGTTCAGTCCAGAACTGTGGCTTTTGGGACATACATGCTAAGATACTATCCCATTTCAGTTTAATTCTTGCAACTCAGGAAGTTGAGGCTTGTGTTTTAATATTCATATTGCAGTCTCAGCTAATGTCTTACGAAGAGATGAAGCATTAAACACAGTGCAACACAAGATGAGTGGTGTGCACTTTTGTGCTGGTTTTGGCTGGGATAAGGTTAAGTTTTTTCACAGTAGCCAGTATGGAGCTGGTTTTCGATTTCTGTGTTGATAACAGAGGGATGTTTTAGTTACTGCTGAGCAGTGCTTATACAAAGCCAAGGCCTTTTGTGCCTCTCATAGCCCCTCACCAGTGAGCTGGCAGGGGGTGCACAAGAAACTGTGAAGG